GAGAAACACAGAGAAAGACAGAAGATGAAGTTGGAAAAGATTAAGATGGCGACTTGCATGGACTCATGTTACCAAGGTTTTGATCCTGCAGCTTATCTGCACTACAACTACACACCACCCCGAGCAGACTTTGAACGAAGAAGTAGCATTGTACCATGGAAACTGAGCTGTCTGCACAGAGCCTTTACTGAAGGTAAGCGTGCATGTAAGAGAAAGAGCAGGAAAATGAGGGTTTATTTATGAAGAGTTCAGATGCAAAACACTCAATCCATCTGACCTCTTTTCTTGTAAAGGAGCATTTTCTATCAGGCTTCTCTGATTAGGTTCAAAAGTTTCATGATATATGTAATGATAAGGTTATTAGCTAGTGAATAAAATAACTTTTTTTCAAAAATGTCACTTTAGACAATTCTTTGGTTTTTAACAAGGTACATTTTCTTAGTTTTCTTAGCTTAGTCCACTTCTGCTTATTTTGCAAAAACCTCTAAATCCACCTATTGTGATAAGACAGTGTAATTAGTTGAAAAATCACTAAAGATGCAATTACAAATTATTTTACCAAACATAAAACACATTACACAAACCACCTAAAATACATAAATCTGTCAAGTAAGTGACGGTTCATTCCACTGTAATACACCAGGGAAAAGCAGAAGAAAAATGAATGAATGAAATCAATCAAGTAAGTGCATTAATTAATAACATCAAAACTGACATTAATTTAAATCAAACAATCTGATGTCATTTCTGATATTTGGGATTTAGATTTAATGTAAGTAGAGCAATGTGAACATTGTAAACTAAGCCTCTTAAATTAAATAATGTAGTGTAAAACATTATGAAACATCAATATCTGTGCATTGTTCATTAATATAAAAAGCTTATCAGACATATAGGTATTATGAAATAATATAAATAATTAATAGTTTTATACATTATATTTCTCTTTTAAAAAAAATAGCTTACATTAGCAAATAAAACACAAGGTATATTACTCTGCAAAAGGCGAATGTCTCTTTGAAAATTTTAGAAGCTGTCATTCATTCTCACCATACTTAAGATCTTAGTCCCTTGTTTATCCTCAAAGTATCCTTGTGGGATAAAAGAACAGCATCTTAACTCTGTATTCAATGAAACAGAGTTGCTGTATAATTTACAGTAAATCGGACCCATTCAAAGTAGTCGCTGCACAAAAAAACGTTATGAATGCATGCTACATTTCCGACTGTACATTGTGTTTTTTTTTTCCTTATAATGCACAGAATTTTGAGGTAAGGGACGTTTTCATTTGCCATTCACTAACAGTTGGATAGGCTCATCCAGTTCATCAAACTCTGTCTTTTAAATTAAGCCAGCGTAATAGCTCGATGTTACATTGAAAACATATGATTCGATTCGCGCCTTCTGGTTATCAGGATATAGTGGCTTTTTCTGTCAAAGGCAAGTAGCGTTTAGCGGCTTTTGCCAAAAACTGTTATTTCTGAATGAAATGACCCTGGTATTCAGATGATTTCAAGCAAATCTATTTGTTGAACGTACTGCGTGCCTAAAGCATTCACTCATTGTCATTATCTAATCTTTGTCGGAAGAGGTGTTTAGCGGCTTTTGCATCTGAACTCTTCATTGAAGTTTATATATAAATTTATATATTACTTGATTATTGGATGGCTCAGTGACACAGACAAAAGAGCCCATCCGTTGCACGCCCGGACTATTTGCACACAGCCTGAGCCTGGCCAAGACAGTGTTTCTACAAAAACAGAGAGAGACAGTAGCTATGTTTCCATCCACCTATTTTTATGCACGTTTAGGATATGCGCATTAAAAAATGGTTGATGGAAATGCCATGATGCGCATAATGCTGAGTTCAGACTGCATGATTTTCAAAATAATGGTGTCACAGATGTTTTCACACTGCAAGACTATTTGGGCTAGCGTTTTGTTGCTGCTTTGTTTACACTGCAAGATGGATCGGCGACAGCACACTGCATGACTTTACAATAGGAAGAATCACCAACTTTGTCCAAACTTAGTCTCACCACCAAAAACACGTAGTATATCTTTTGTTATTAGCTACATAATGAGAAAGAAGCCTTTAGTGGGCTAGAAAATCTACATATTTGCTCACCTGGGTTTGAAAGGAATTAGCAATTTCTCCTCAACTTTTTTCTTTTTCGACCCGGTTGTGATATTGCTCAGATGACACGTCAAATAGACATTGATGCTCCTGACAATTTCCCACTAGTTTTCCTTCATTTCTTGGGACCAAATAAACTTAAAATGAGCTCTTTTAACCTCTCTCCAACCTCTTGCTGGCCTGCAGATGCCCATACTAGTCAATGCTGCTCTCTCAGGGTGTCGGTAATTGCTAATATTAATTTTAGTCAAAACTCATTTCACATGGCATGATTTTAATCGCCATTAGCTTTAGATATTTAGCAGGCCAATTGTCTCACAGGCATAGGCGACTCACTCGTGATTTCAGGCATTTGTCGCTGATTTCTCAAAACCAAATAAACAATCACCCCTACGCAGACACATCATAGAAGAGCAGATAGATCTACAATCATGACAACACTGGCACAGCAGTACCAGCACCAAAAATGTTTCTTCAACTGCTGGCCCCTAGCTCCTGCAAGAAACTGAAAAAAAAAAGGATAACAAAAAGCCAACAACTGGGTAGGGGCTTAATACTTAAACCAGTTAATCTTATACAAAAATAACAATCACAGAACAGAAATCAGTAAAAGAGCAATGAATCAAACTCAACAAACATGGGTGAATGAAAACCACTTGAGTTTAATTTCATTATTGGACAGTCTCTGCAAAGTAAAAATAACAAAAAACACTTTGGTGGAAACAAAACAAACAAAAACAAAAGACCACCACAGCAATAACACATTGCTTAATGCAGTTGTTAGTGCAGGCACCGCCAACACAAGTGGACCTTCAATTCGATTTAAAATGCAGTCAAAAAGGTGTTTAGACAGAATTCAGATATCACTCAGACAGTAGCAGCAAATGCTTATGGTACACAATACTGTCCATGCGTGATTCGAACACAAACAGTAGTCCTACTTGACAGCTGCATGGCTCCGTCTACATCCAGAGTCAAAATCCAATGGCAAAAATAGAAGACTGATCAAGCGGCAGTGCATGCAAATTGAGGGCCCAAATGAGAGGATTGGAATTTAAATATCAACACTCCTGCTACCCTAAAATCTGCTATCAATTTGACCCCAGTAATTTAAACCTTCAGAATATGATTTTGTTTTGCCAAAAGGTTAGTGTCAGGTAATTGATGTCTTTGTTGGCTACTTAACAACACTCTGAAATACATGGCTGGTTTGCTGGGCATGTACGGTCCTTAATGTCATTTTCACTGTCGAAAACCTGTGACAAAATATAATTGACAGAAAACATTTGCTTAGAGGCCATTTTCAATTAAGACAGCTTAAAGAGAGAGCACACTCAGAGAAATAGCTTAGAAAGCTTCTGTGCAAGTGTTTATAGCTTTGCACCTACCATGTAAACCATGTAAATCATCCCCCACCCCCTCAAAAAAAAAAAAAAAAAAAAACACAGCAAATATCTAGTTTTGCTTGCAAGTTTTCACAAGAATTGGGTTTTCCCCATTGGGGAATGGCATAGGAAATAATAAAGTTCTCGTGAGAGTTAGTATTCTCCTACCCCCATGTCATGTGAACTGTCAGTGGTTCTCACAATACTACAGGTATGGTTCTGTTATTTTATTTCAAATATATTGTTGTATTAATGCATGAAAAACTCTTATGTGTTACACTATAAATAGTGTAAAATGAATCGGTTCATCAGTTAGTGTGACATGATCAGACTGCAACAGGAACTTAAGAAATGTAAGAGATTTTTTGTTGTTGTTGCAGGAAGTATGCATTATTAGGAATAATCTCATGCCAATCTATTAAATAGGACACATAGTATAAAATCACTGCATTAAGCTATAGTCATGTAATGCGTTCATAATGTTATAATTGCAGAAATATCAAAGTAATAATATTTTTTTATATTTTTTTTCCCAGATGATATAAGAGGTGGCATATTAGTGGATGTGGGATCGGGCCCAACTCTCTACCAGGTCATGAGTGGCTGTGAGAGATTTGATCATGTCATCCTCTCCGACTATTTGGAGGTCAATCGAAAAGAGCTGCAAAACTGGCTACAGGAGGGAAAGAGCAAGATAGACTGGACTGACTACTTCAAATATGTGTGTGAACTGGAGGGCCGCAGGTGAGAATCTTTTACACTTTTAATTACATAAAAATCACATAGATGAAAACAAAATCTTAATTGTAAGCAAACATGAAATATTGTTTAGCAAAAAAGATTTTCCCCTTACTGATATCTTTAATCAATCTTTTACAGTCACTTGCGTTTGTTGTGTGTGATGTCATACATTCGCCATTTTGCTGATTCTATGAACAACCAGAGACAATTAGAGGGAGACAAATAACATAAGAGAGATACATGCCATACAGGGGCGCAACTGCACATTTACTGAGGGGTATGCGAGTTCAAGTCTACCGGAAGACGATCGTCGCTATGGCGCCCTCCATGCAGCAGCCATGAAACCGGTCTATACACACGATTTGAAGATGAATGAAAGCGAATATTTTAAGATTCAGGTGTGTAAATAGACAAATACACAATAATATGTCAACATGTTTTATTTGAAACACAAGTAATATTATCTTAAATTAGCATAAACAGAACAAATGTTTTCATTGCATTTTTAAAGTCAGACTCACACTTCTGTTATCAAACAAAACAGAGGTTCAAACTAAATTCATTTGTTGCTCTTTAGTAAATAACTTTAGTAACTGTAATCAATATTTAAATGCAGTGAATAAAAAATGTATCTTTTGAAGCTGACGGTCCATATTTAAGACTATCAAAAGCGTTTACCATGAAGTTAACTTTACACCAGCTCATCTTGGCTTTAAGCCTATAGAATTATAGTGTTTTTCGCATACTACACAGGATGCAAATCTGCGATTTTGGACGCAGTTCAGGTGTGGCCGTGCGTCACTCCCCCTACCTGGACAAAACCACCTTGTCTGCATTTGTGTTAAGTAAAAGCCCATGCATGCAGAGACTGAGTGGCGATAATGAATAATTCTGAATAATCCTCTCTCCATTTTGAACATGTGACTATAATCGAGCAACGAATCAATCAAATGGTCAACGAAGAGGGAGGGGTGGTATAATTTTTTTATTCAATAAATTACAATTGTATATTTATATAAAATGCAGGATAAACCAAAATTATGTATTTATTTTGTTTAATATGTATAATAATATGTATAATTTCAAAAATAGTTTTGGCACAATGCCCCCAACCCACCCCCCCCCCCCCCCCCTTTTTTTTTTTACTGCATACTAGGGTTGGGCATCTATGCTATAATGCTGATCCGATCGCATCCAATCTCATTTTGCCACTGAATATTCAAAACGTAACACCGTAAACTAGCAGTGTTATGCTGCTTTGAAACATCCCTGTCACTGTAAACAACAGGCTAATAAAATACAATTTAATTTAAATTAAATTAAATTCCATAAAGTAAACAGGAGGACACCTTGTGGCATTTTTGAATAGTATACATTGGTCAGTCACTTTCAGTTAAAGGTTTTTCTTCAGAAATATTAACTGATCAACATGATCAGGGTGAAGCAAGCTACGCTGAGCTGTAACTATGTCTCCAGCTGTGCTGAAAACTCTTTTAGCTGGTACGCTTGTTGCTGGGATGGACAGATATCTTTTTGCTAAACCTGATAGTAGTGGAAGATCTACTTGCAGTCTCCACCACTGCAACACATCCCCATCCAAACCTAAAGTGTCCCTCTCCCTATATTTTAATATTTCATCCTTAGCTTTCTCCCTGATGGTTTTTGCTGGTGGTCTTGCACTCAGGAAATCTCCAAACATCTGGGACCTCATGTACGAAGACTTGCGTGGAAATCTTACTAAAACATTGCGTACGCACAAAGCTGTAAATGTGCGTACGCAGAAAAAAATTCAGATGTATGAAACACTGCGTACGCCGAATCTCACGCAAATTCTTTTGTTCATCTGAATGAACGTGAAACTAAGCGTAACATGCACGAGCACAAAAACTCTCTCTGCCTCCTCCCCCGTATGAATATGCTAATGACTATACTTTGGCAAAACTCAACGAAAAAGCAATGGCAAAATCAAGCAAAAAGAGAAACTTTGTACAGAATGTGAATTGGAGGTGCCTCTTTCGGAGGTAGAATGGAGAAAAGCGGTGTTATTTGCAAGTTTGTTCTCCGGAATTAACAACAAAAGAAAAAATAGAGTGGGAGAGTTTAGCTGATGCGGTTAACATAGTCGGGTCTGAACATCGCACTGTGGAGTTAAAAGAGAAATAGTGTGATTTATAGGTGTAAAATGTTGCGGCATTCGTAACAGTCTCAGTGGCGCAGGACATAATCCGCATGTCAACATGTTTTGACACGTTCGAGCATGAACTCGGTTCAAATCCAGCGTCTGATGAACTCTTCCTTCTTTTTTTCCCCGCTACATATCAGATTTTGCCAACTATTTATCACAAGAAATACAAATAGGAATCATTAATAAGTTTGTGCATCATATTTTATTTGCACATTTATTGAATGGAAATGTTTCTGATTCACGCATGCAAATTCATCTTCAGATAGTGTCTTTATAGCAATGTGCGTGTGGTAGACAACTCAGATTACATTGGGTTAAACAGGCGACCGCTGCAAATTGTGCTTTAATGTTTAGCTGGTCAACTGTATGGTATGGAAACCTTTTATACAGACACCCCATTTAGATTGCAAGGCTCAGACACTTTGTAGAGTGCAATTTAACACAACTGCCTCTAGGAGTCGCCAATGGAAATAAAACAGACACGCACAAAAAAATGTGCGTACGCCAACCATAAAGCTGGCGTGGAGCTGCGCACATTCCCACGTTCAGTTCATTGTTAGTAAATCCAAACGTGAGCGATTCTGAGCGTGAAACCTGGCGTACGCAAAGTTTTTGTGCGTACGCAGCGTTGATACATGAGGCCCCTGGTCCATGGCAGTCTTTTTCTTCTGAGGGGCATCATCTACAGAAGAGGGCAGAGGAGAAGCTTATCACTTTTGCTAAAAATATTCCTTTAATTTACAATCTGAAAATTACTTTACTGTATTGCATCTTCACTACATACTTCTGTACATTTGTTGCATTTTCTCCATTTAAACCAACCTGTCTTGTCTTCTTTGGAAGGGCTTTTGTGGCTTTCTGTTTCAGCTGTTTGGTCCTCTTCCAATGTGCCTGCTTTCTGGTCTTCATTCGGCATTGTGACATTGACCTCTTCCTTAAAAATGCATAAACATGGAAATTAATGCATATTCATATATTATTAGTTCTTAACTGCAATAATGATCTTACTTTAAATGTTCTTACCTCTCCATTCATCTGTACCACCTCGGTTGTTATCTTCATGAATACCATATCCTTGGCATCACTGTCATCCAAAAAAGCCAGATCTTTAAAACGTGGGTCAAGTGCTGAGGCACAGTTGAGAGTGCCTTCAAGATATGTATAACGGCCATCAAAGTCCTGCCTGAATTTCTTTCATGTGGGAAATAACCTCTAGATCACCCTCATCTGATTGGAATTGTCTCTGCAGTTTGGCTTGGATTGGAGAGATAATGGAGATTGTGGGATTTTTTCCTCACTAAGGAGTGTGGTTGCCATTTTCAGAGGTGACATTAATTTGATGATCTCTGGGATCAGTGTCATGTCATCTTCTGTCAACCTCGCCATAACCTCACGCCTCTTTATCTTCCTGGACAGCAGGGTGTTCAGTACAGCAGGCTGCTGCTCCCAGAAACGCTCCAACATGTCGAGGGTACTGTTCCATCTGGTGGAAACGTCATGGATGAGCTTGTGGTTGGGAAGGTGTAACTGTGTCTGTATTTCTCGCAGAAGGTCAGTTGCCTTGGGGCTTTTGTGGAAAAAGGAAACAAGCTTCCTAACTTTCACCACCAGCTCAGAGACACTGTCCACCTTAAAGGCTTTTTGAGATGCCAAGTTCAATGTGTGGGCAATGCATCTCACGTGTGGGTCCATCTTGGCACCAGCACCAGCCAGGATCATGTTTCTGGCGTTATCTGTGACTAACGCGGGACTCTTTTCTTCAATCTTCCACTCGCGGCACACATACTGAAGTAAAACGGCCAAATTATTCCCTGTATGAGCCTTGTTAAATACTCTGGTCTGCAGAATGTGGTTTTTGAGAACCCACTCGTCATCTATGTAGTGTGCTGTGACAGTTACATATGATGCTGTAGCGCACAATGTCCAGCCGTCCACTGTAACCGCGACTCTTTGGGCTTTGTGCATAGACTCCTCTATCTCTCTTCTTACTTTGTTGTACAGAGCAGGAATCTGTTTATCGGAGAATAGCTTTCGGTTTGGTATCTTATAACGAGGCTCCAAGACATGGAGGAGGTGTTTAAAACCTTCGTTCTCAGTGACACTATAAGGCTGAATATCTTTGCATATAAACAATGCAATAGCATCCGTGATTGCCATAGAGCGCGCGGAACTGTTAGCAAGCGGGGCATGGAAAAAACTCTCAATGCTTTTCTCACCACTTTTAGAGCTGTTAGCTACAGGTGAATCAGAGCAAGAAGCAGAGGATGCAGGAACACTGGAAGATGCTTCCAAAGAATCCACAACAACACCGTGGCGCCGCTTCAAGTGAGACATGAGATTCGTCGTACTGCCCGTGTATTTTACAGATGCGCGGCACATTTTGCAAATTGCATCTGTCTTGTCAAGTCGTCCATCTTTCTTGTAAAATCCATAATGTTGCCATACTTTAGATTTAAAACCCAGTGGGGAATAAATTGTCTCGGCGTCTGACATGTTTATTTTGCTTCTCGCGCTTTCTGAGGGCGCACCACTAGCTTAATCCGCACACCTGACCTGAGTTGTAGTGTAAGTGTAGTGTACACATCCGCAAATCCGTTGCTAAGGCATACTTTATGTAGGTCGATTAAATTATGCGCTAAAAACAGTTTGACAACACTTGTTAATAAATAAAAAATACATTCTATATTAAAAAGATAAGTTGTATCTTGGAAAAATCGATGCATCTCGCAAAAACCGATGCATCTCGATTTGCTTTTAATATTTCATTCATCCTCTGCTGCTCTACCGATGCACTCGCATCGTGCATGCGCATGACCGCGTATCAATACATATCGGTTTATCTTCCCATCCCTACTGCATACCCCCTTTTTGTGCCACTGATGCCATAAACAAGGTCAGGCTTGAGAAGTACAAGAAAATTGAGTGCACTTAAATTCAGGATATGGATCTGTATGAATCAATTTCTTCATA